AATAATGCATCAAAAGACAGTTCACAGTGGAGAACACTCCTCAACAAAATGGAGTGGCAGAGCGGATGAACAGAACCTTGTTAGAAAGAACAAGAGCAATGTTGAGGGATGCAGGCCTAGAAAAATCATTCTGGGCAGAAGCAGTCAATACCGCCTGTTATTTGGTGAATCGAGCTCCATCAATTGCAATAGAGCTGAAGACACCAATGGAGATGTAGACTGAAAAACCAGCTGATTATTCAAACCTCCATATATTGGAAGTATAGTGTACGTGATGTACAACTCCCAAAAAATTTCAAATTTGGATCCAAAATCCAGGAAATGCAAATTCTTGGGGTATGCTGATGGAGTAAAGGGGTATCGCTTGTGGGATCCCACTGCCCACAAAGTGATCATTAGTAGGGATGTTATCTTTGTAGAAGATAAGTTACGAAGAAAAGAAGATGATGATAGTGCTGAAAAGTCAGAGACTACACAGATACATGTGGAAAATGAGGTTGAACAAGGAGATTCTTCTGAAGCATAACCAGCACATGATGAACAAGAACCAGGGAGTTCTGAAACTCCAACAACTCGTTAATCAGATCGTGTGAGAAGACGTCCCAATTGGCACTCAGATTATGTTATAGAAGGTAATATTGCATACTGTCTTTTAACAGAGGACGGTGAGCCATCAACATACCAGGAGGCAATACACATCTCAGATGTTTCACTGTGGATGATGGCGATGCAAGAAGAAATCGAAGCCCTTCATAAAAATAATACATGGGACCTTGTGCCACTACCACAAGGAATGAAGCCAATTGGTAACAAATGGGTTTTCAAAATCAAGCGAAATGGTGACGATCAAGTGGAGAGGTATCGTGCAAGACTGGTGGTCAAAGGATATGCTCAAAAAGAAGGTATTGATTTCAATGAAATATTTTCTCATGTGGTTCGACTAACAACAGTTCGAGTAGTTTTGACAATGTGTGCTACATTGGACTTACATCTAGAGCAGCTAGATGTTAAAAACAGCTTTTCTTCACGGAAATCTTGAAGAAGAAATTTATATGCTCCAGCCTGAAGGTTTTGAAGAAAAAGAAAAGAAGAACTTGGTTTGCAGGTTGAACAAATCTCTGTACGGTCTAAAGCAGGCGCCGAGGTGTTGGTATAAGAGATTTGATTCCTTCATTATGTGTCTTGGATACAACAGACTTAATGCAGACCCTTGTGCTTATTTCAAGAGGTCTGGTGATAACGATTTTGTTATATTGTTGTTGTATGTGGATGACATGTTGGTTGCAGGACCCAACAAAGATCATATTGAAGAATTGAAGGCACAACTGGGTAGGGAATTTGAAATGAAGGACTTGGGATCAACAAACAAGATTCTAGGGATGCAAATTCACCGAGACAAAAGTAATAGGAAGATTTGGCTTTCACAAAAGAATTACTTGAAGAAAAAATCTTGTCACGATTTAGCATGCAAGATTGTAAGCCAATTTCTACCCCTCTTCCTATTAACTTCAAATTATCCTCCAGTATGAGTCCTAGCAGTGAAGAAGAGAGGATGGAGATGTCTCGAGTACCGTATGTATTAGCAGTGGGAAGTTTAATGTTCGCTATGATATGCACAAGACCAGACATTGCACAAGCAGTGGGAGTGGTTAGTCGGTACATGGCGAATCCAGGCAAAGAGCATTGGAATATTGTAAAGAGGATCCTAAGATACATCAAAGGGACCTCAAATGTTGCATTATGTTACGGAGGATCAAACTTACTAATCAATGGGTATGTAGATTCTCACTTTGCAGAGGATTTGGATAAAAGCAAATCTACTACAGGATATGTGTTCAAAGTTGCTGGTGGAGCTGTAAGCTGGGTTTCAAAATTGCAGTCAGTTGTGGCTACGTCCACAACAGAGGCAGAATATGTAGCAGCTACACAAGCCAGTAAAGAAGCAATTTGGTTGAAGATGCTATTGGAGGAGCTTGGGCACAATCAAGAGTATGTCTCTCTGTTTTGTGACAGTCAAAGCGCCTTGCATCTAGCAAGGAATCCAGCATTTCATTCAAGGACTAAGCACATACGAGTTCAGTACCATTTCATTCGTGAAAAGGTGGAAGAAGGAACGGTAGATATGCAGAAGATCCATACCAAAGACAACATAGCAGATTTCATGACGAAGACAATCAATGCTGATAAAAATTTACCTGGTGTCGATCCTCCTGTGGCCTGTCGGAAACGTAAGCAACATGAAAGGTACAAGGTAGAGAGAATGGTGTGAAGATATGATTGTTCCAATCAAATCTTCAAGTGGGAGATTGTTGAAAAATTGGCACACCAAATTGCATCAATTGTCAACATTATGGGTGGCAATTTGGTGGCATTAATGGGGTGGCAAAATTGGTCAAATTTGGCCAACAAATTGTTGAAAATTTTGGATGGTAAAACTATGTAATTAGTCATTGTAAGTTAGGGTATTTACAAATTAGTCCTTAAAGCTTCAACTATAAATACCCTAGCTCATTTAGCTTCAAAACCATCCCAAAGCATTCTAGCTTTCTTCCAATACTAGAGAGATTTTAGAGAGTTTCTTGAGAGTTGTTTTCTCCTTTTTATCTAGAGAGAATTATCATTGTTTTCTCCTTGGTAGATCGAGAGAGGTTGTAATTCCTATTTTCTCATAGTGAAATTCTTCTACTGTTGCCCGTGGTTTTTACCCTATATAATTTAGGGGTTTCCCACGTAAATTTTGTCTCTTTTTATCTTCATTTTTATTTTCTCAAATTATCAGTTGTGATTTTGCTCTATCCGATAGCCGTTGTGTACTTTACCCTAATACAATTTATATTTAAACCCAATAAAAGGGATTTGATAATCCAATCTATAAGTTATATTTATCCAAATCAATAAACATTCCTTTTTATAAAATTTCCTCACCAAAACTACCAAACTTGCTAAAATACAATTAATAGAATTAGCGTGGCAATGAACATATGAAAAACCCTAATAAAGAAACACATCCCATGTTACTACAAAGAGGATCACACAGCTGAGTGAAACAAAAAAAGAATATTGAATGATGGTAATTTTCTCCCTGGTGGGTCCAACCAACACCACAAAGATAGCGACAGACCGCATAAAATATTCTATTTCATCGGAGCTCTCTAATGCATGACTACGACTGTGGTGGTAGTGGGTAGAAAAGTTCGCCGTTTGTGGAATGCTTTGATTGTTGGGGCAAAGCTTTCTTTATGCACATGTTCCCATTTTTGGCCATGGCCCCTTCACATTCAGTTCTTGCCACAAAAGCATGCTGTTTCTCACCACCCTTTTGGGGGGGTGGAGATGGGACAAATTGTACGTACTCCATTTCTGACTATTTTTTTTTCTAAACCGATTACAACTTCAGGGATTGATAGCTTGGTTAGACACCTCCATTTTAAATGAGATTATTTACATTTTTCAAGGATGATGAATTTATGATCTGAGATATTTGTTTTTGTTTTCTTGCCATCAGGATAGTTATTTCAATTTCTTTTTTTTTCTTTTATAACGTCAAAATTTAAACTATCAATTTCTTCCTTGCTAGAGCTTGCACTTAAAATCTTTTCAAAACCATCATCATCCATAATCTCGTTATAGCCTTTCTCTATGATATCCCACACGTCTTGTGATCCAAGAAGTGCCTTCATTTTTGATACTCCAATTGTCGTAGTTGTTGTTATTGAGTGTCGGAACTTGGAATGGTGCCATACCATTTGCCATATCTCTCAATATAATGAGATTTTGTAAAATCCGATTGCACGAATGAATCCGGAACGCCGAAAAAACCTTGGGAGGGACTTGGACAACTCGGTCAAGGGCTCCAACTCGGCTGACTCGGCTCAACTCGGTGAGTCAACTCGATTTTCTGGCAGCAGTCTTCCGGCGGTGCGTGGCGGTGCGTCAGAACTCAGATTGAGAAAATTCTGGCGGCGTCGGATTCCTCTCGTCGAGACCTTCGATCTTTCCAGCTCTCTCTGATGCCACTTTGTTGGAAATAAAACACTCACACAAACAACTTTTATTGAAACTCAAACAAATATTACAAGAACACTCTCACTCAAAAACAAGAATTACAACTCACTCTTATAAGACTTTACTTCTTCATTCACTTAGAAGCTCTTAATTTTTCTTGATGCTTAAAACTAAAATGAGAAGGGGTATTTATACTACTCAAGAACAATCCTACACCACAAAAATAAACTAATTTAAACCATTATAAATTCAACAAAATATCTAACTCTTACCTAACTAAATTGATGTAAGCAATGACATCATTACTTAAATGATGTAAGCAATGACATCTTTAATTAAATGATGTAAGTAATGACATCAATTTAGTTTGGGTTTGGGTTTAGGCTCCCATAATGGATCAAGTTTATGATCCAACATAATCATGATGACTTCGTTCTCATAATCCAATCAAAATAATAGGTTTTTGCCTTATGACCACTGAGTCCCTTTTCAAGATCTAGTGTTTTCCTTTTCTTTCTTTCCTTTTGTTTTATTTTCACCCTACAGATAAAACCAAAAAGAGAAGCACGAACTCGTAGTGACTGGTGTTTGTCTTCATGCCTTTTAATTCTTTGATATTCTGGTTTTAAGTTTTAACCAATGTTCTACTCGTACTTTTTCTCTCTTTTTTTCACCTGCAATGAGACCAAGCATACCCCTTTCTTTCTTCGAGTAGTACTTTTACACTTGTAATTTATATATCATTATGTCTGCATAGTGGTTGATCTTGAAAATTAAGATGTTATATAGGGTTTATATAGTAACTTTGTAGTTCCATTTTCCGCAGTATGACCAAGATGCTTGAGCGATACCAGCGTTGCTGCGTTACTCCTCAAGACAACAGCCTTGAAGGCGAAACACATGTTCTTTTTTTCACTACAATTTCTTTTACAAACCGCAAAAATTAGTGAGCTTGACTTCCATTTGCATATCGATTCAGAGTTGGTACCAAACCAAGAGGTAACCTATTTGAAGGCAAAATATGAAGCACTGCAACGCACTCAAAGGTTAAGCAGTTTTTCAAATCACCAAAAAAAAAAAGAGAAAGTTCTGTTGTTTGTCTAGTTGAAAATATATATGTATGTTTATATGATTATTATATCAGGCCTTTTCTTGGAGAGGATCTTGGACCATTGAATGTTAAAGAGCTGCAAAACCTTGAGAAACAACTCGAAGGAGCTCTTGCACTGGCTAGACAAAGGAAGGTGAATTTTCTGGTATTTCCATCAAACTGATTGAAATGTGTGGTAATTTTCTTGTTTAATCTTCACCCAGAAATGGTTTTTCTTGTACTGCAGACACAGATCATGATAGAACAAATGGAATGTTAGTATATGTGAGCAACATGAAGAGTGTTCATCAGAAAGCAAAGCTAAAAGTACGAATTGCATGGGGAATGTTAGTGTATAAATGTTAGTCAAGTTAGTTGTAACCAAAAGCTGTTAGGAATTGGTTTAGTACAGTTACTAGTTAGTTAAGGGAAGTTGTTAATCAGCTGTTATAGTCAATCAACTGATATAAATGAACTGCTAAGCCTCTGATCATGTAAGCAAGATTCATTTCAATGAAATGCATAATTTCTTCTTCTATTCTCTCTTTAGTTTCTTCTATAGTTGTTAGGTTTATATCATAACATGGTATCAATCGCTAAAGTCCTGGTGATGCTGTGGTGTGACTTATTGCTGCTATTCATGAAAGCTCATATGTTCGACTTCTACCTTCCTTGCTTCATTGTTTCTTGCTTCTTGGTTGGGTACGTATTTTCTTGAAAGTTTAGACTTTTGTTCCTATCTAAGTTCTGTTCAATATGGTTGACCTTATGGCTGATCCGACTCGTGAAGAGAATGGCTCGCAAATTAATTCCTCGATGAGCTGCACTGCTACTCGTGTAAGCTCCATTCAGCATATACTTAAACATGATACAGTTAAACTCACTGAAAATACGTATTTGTTGTGGAAACATTAAGTATCGTTAATCGTTGATGGTTATGGTTTGTTGAAGTTTATTTCTCCTAATATAGTTGTTCCAAATGAATTTGTTACTAATGATGCTGGGCAACAAGATAAGTTGCTTGCCTCTTGGTTGTTAACTACTGTGAGCATGGAGGTTCTGCCTCATCTTACTGGTCTTACATCTGCAGTTGCTATTTGGAATGTCGTGACACGTTTATTTGGTGCACGATCTAGTGCGAAAATCTCATCGCTTCGCCACACTTTGCATTCGCAAAGGAAGTCAGGCTTATATGTTCATGAATTTTTAGCAAAAGTCAAAGCTGTTTGTGATTTTCTAAATGCCTCTGGAAGTGTTGTAGCTGAACAAGAACATGTTAGTATCATTTTAGCTGGCCTAACTATGGAATTTGAATCAGTAATTGCTATATTTTCCCGAGAAGAGGTTTCATTGGACACTCTCACCGAAATGTTGCTTGACTGTGAAGCTCGACAAAAGATGTTCTTAAGTGAAGGACTCTCGGCCAATGTTGCTCAGCTGAAGCCTGATGGTGATTTGACTGTTAAAAATTCCACTGATGATCATTCATCTCAAGTGCATGATCAGCAGGGAGGTAGTTACCGAGGACGAGGTCGTGGACGTAGTTATAACTCCAACAGACCACAATGTCAATTATATGGTAAGTTTGGACATATAGTACAGAAATGTTATCATCGCTTCGATCGTGATTACACTGGTATTGGTGACTCTAGTACTTCAGCTGAAAATTATTCAAAACGGCCAAATAGTTCGGGTGTTGATCAGCATCAACCCTCTGCACGGGGATATAATCATGCAGTGAATACGGTGTCATATCCTGGCTTTATTCCTGCTCCTTCCCCTTATCTATATCCAGTCAGTTCGATAATTCCCAATACTTTGTTTTGCTCCCCATAAGCCTTTGCCTACCATCCATCTTCTGGAGCTTCAGTTGGTTCCTCCAATGATGTTTCGAATCCTTCTATAGTAGGCCAGAATCCATTCTTGGCACCCACAACACATGCAACTTTTGTTTCAATGCTTTCATCCTCGGGTGTTCAGTCCTTCTTGAAGCCCACAAATGATGTTGTTTGGTATCCTGACACTGGTGCGACCCACCATGTGACTGATGATCAGTCTGTTTTCCACTCAGGTATGGTGTATACTGGTGATAACGCCTTGCACATGGGCAATGGTGATGGCATTAGAATTGCACATGTAGGACAAAGCTCTTTATATTATAGTATGAAACCTTTAGTTTTGCGTAACATATTGCATGTTCCTAACATCAAGAAGAAGTTAATTTTTGTTTCACAGTTTACACGAGATAACAGTGTCTTTCTTGAGTTTCACCCGTATGAGTGTGTTATGAAGGATGCTCAGACACGATAGGTTCTTCTTCGAGGGAGGCTCACGGATGAAGAACTTTATCAGCTCCTTCCTTCTGATGAGGCGTGCTCGAATGCTCAGCTAAATCACGTTGCTGTGATTTTAGATCCTATGGACCTATGGCATCGACGCCTTGGTCATGCCTCCAACGATGTACTAAATCTGTTATGAAGCATTGTAATGTCTCCTTTAATAAGAATAAATTGACACATGTGTGTGCTGCTTGTATGCAAGGGAAGGCTCACAAACTCCCTTTTTGTTCTTCTACCTCACAATATAATGAACCATTTCAGCTAGTTGTTTCATTTTGGGTCCTTCTTCTTTTAATTCTTCATATGGATTTTCATTTTATGTGTCCTTTGTTGATATCACAAGTAGATACACCTGGGTTTATTTGCTTAAAAGGAAGTCTGAGGTACATTCATGTTTTATTAATTTTTACAAGCTAATAGAGGTTCAATTTGGCTGCAAAATTAAGGCTTTGCAAACAGACGGTGGTAGTGAATATCAATCGCTTAAGGGGTAGCTACAGTAAAATGGTGTAGAACATCGACTCTCATGACCAGGAACCTCTGAGCAAAATGGCCGAGCTGAGCGAAAACACATGCACATAGTTGAAATGGGGTTAACCATACTCGCTCAAGCGTCTCTACCCTAAAGTTTTGGAGCTATTGACTTCCTATGTGTCTTTGGGTGTGCATGTTTTCCATGCATGAGGTACGCTAATCACCATAAATTGGAGTTCAGGTCAAGGAAATGTGTTTTTCTAGGCTATAGCCCGTTTCATAAGGGCTATTGATGTTTGGATGATGATGGAATGGTGATCATCTCTCGACATGTGGTGTTTGATGAACATGTTTTTCCCTTTCCACAAAGATGCAACATCTCCACAAATAGCTCGTGTTCTCCAGGGGTCACTGAAAACCTTCTTCCAGTTGTTACAACAATAGCTTCTGGACCAATTGGAGTGACCGAGGGTACCACATCGCATACTGTAAATTCCTCGTTTACTAATGGTTTGTTGTTACCTGTTGAACAGGTTGCTGCAGACTCTGTCAATACGAATGGAACATCTTCATCCACTGGTGGAATGTTGCCTCATGAGGAGCAGTTTGTTACAGACTCGGCAGATGCTCCTATGTGTCCTACACCACCTAGGGTTGTGGCTGAATAATTGGTTTCGAATGCTGGTATTGTACCTCGTCTTGGTATTGAGGCGAGTTCTTCGAGTAATACTATGACACCCACTTGCATTGATCGGACTACCCCTAGTCAAAATATTCACCCCATGGTTACGCGTGGCAAGAGTAGGATACGAAAAATCGCAACTGATAATTTGAGAAAATAAAAATAAAGATAAAAGAGACACAAAATTTACGTGGAAAACCCCTAAATATTTAGGGTAAAAACCACGGGCAACGGTAGAAGAATTTTACTATGAGAAAATAAGAATTACAACCTCTCTCGATCTACCAAGGAGAAAACAATGATAATTCTCTCTAGATAAAAAGAAGAAAACAACTCTTAAGAAACTCTCTAAAATCTCTCTAGTATTGGAAGAAATCTATAATGTTTTGGGATGGTTTTGAAGCTAAATGAGAGTTTCTTGAGAGTTATTTTCTCCTTTTTATCTAGAGAGAATTATCATTGTTTTCTCCTTGGTAGATCGAGAGAGGTTGTAATTCCTATTTTCTCATAGTGAAATTCTTCTACCGTTGCCCGTGGTTTTTACCCTAAATATTTAGGGGTTTTCCACATAAATTTTGTGTCTCTTTTATCTTCATTTTTATTTTCTCAAATTATCAGTTACGATTTTTCTCTATCCGATAGCCGTCTTCCGCAACAATTGGTATCAGAGCTAGATTAGAGTGTGTAATATCTACTTATTGTCTTTGTGGTTGCCACCAAAGGTGGATTCTCCAACATAAGAAAGTAAGAAGTTATTACCCATTCTTTGAAGGTTCCAGAGAACTATTCACGATAGTGAAATAGTGGGAGCTATCCGTAAACGAAGCAATGGCAACGAAATTTGATATTAAAAAGTTCAATGGGAGAAATTTCTCATTGTGGAAATTGAAGATGAATGCCATCCTGAGGAAAGACGGGTTGTCTAGCAGCTATCAGCGAAAGGCCAGTAGATTTCACAGAAGATAACAAATGGATCGAAATGGACGGAAATGCTATGACAAACTTTCATCTAGCATTAGCAGATGAAGTATTGTCAAGTATCGAGGAGAAGAAGACAGCTAAGGAGATATGGGATCATCTCACCAAACTATACGAGGTCACATCGTTGCACAATAAAATTTTCCTTAAGAGAAAATTGTACACTCTCCGTATGCCAGAATCTACTTCAGTGACGGAGCACTTAAATACATTGAACACTTTATTTTCTCAGCTTACATCCTTAAGTTGTAAAATAGGAGAACAAGAACGTGCTGAACTTCTACTTCAAAGTCTATCGGATTCATATGATCAACTCATCGTCAACTTGACAAATAGTAATGTTACCAGTCTAGTCTTCGATGACGTTGCAGCTGCTGTTCTACAAGAAGAAAATCAGCGCAAGAACAAGGAAGACAGACAAGTAAATCTGCAACAAGCAGAAGCGTTGACAACGATGAGAGGGAGATCAACAGAACGTGGCCAAAGCAGCAGTCACAAACATGGTAGATCGAAGTCGAGAAGCAAGAAGAATTTAAAGTGTTACAACTGTGGAAAGAATGGTCACTTGAAGAATGATTGTTGGAGTCTAAATAAAAAACTCCAATCCACAAGGCAATACCGCAAACACTTCAGATGATGGAGATGCTCTATGCTGTGAAGCGTCAACCACCGTGGAAGGAAGAAAACGATTTGCAGATATATGGCTCATTGATTCGGGAGCAACATATCACATGACCTCAAGAAGAGAATGGTTCCATCATTATGAACCTGTCTCAGGAGGATCTGTGTATAGTTGC